GTGTGAAAACACCACACTGTACCCCCAAAGTGCATCAATGTACACAGTTACCATTCAATAAAAAAAAAAAAAAAAAAAAATGTTTCCTTACAGCTTCAAAACTACTCCATTTCTATCTTTTCTCATTTTTTAGCAATAACAGGACTGATGACGATCTAATTATTTCCTTTGTGGAGATATGTAATATTTGCTCTCTGAAGACTTTTAGTCAGTTACTTTTTTTTATTATTGTTGAGGATTCACTGAAGGTACATACAACCAGGTTACACTGATTGCTTTTGTTAGATTGAAGCTCAATTTACAATCATCAGTTACTCTTTATCACTAGTATTCTGAAATTTCTTAAGTAGGCATTTCAGTATAGGCTTTTTGTTATTTTTTTATTCAGTCTTCATTTGGTGTTTTTAGAAGATTTATCTGAGTTCATTTTGGGAAAATGTTCTCCTATTATTTCTGTGATTATCAATCTCTCTCATTCTTTCTATTTGAATTTTATTATATATTAGACATTGATGCTCTCCAACAGGCGTCCTCAAACTACGGCCCATGGGCCACATGCAGCCCACCTAGAACATTTATCCGGCCTGCCAGGTGTTTTTGCCGCCACTGCCTGTCCTGCTTAGCAGCTGACTCACCCCAGGGCCTGCAGTCTGGCCCTCCAACAGTCTGAGGGACAGTAAACTGGCCCCCTGTTTAAAAAGTTTGAGGATCCCTGCAATACAATGTCTTCTATATCACATGACTTTTTGTTCATACTTCCGACTTTTTTCAGTTCAAAAGTATATTCTGAAGAATCTCTTAGCTTAATTTTCTAATTTGTTAACTTGCTTTTACCTGTGTCCATTCTTAGTTTGTTTATGCCTCTTTTATCTTGACAATCATATTTTAAAATCCTAAGATACTGACTGGTTTGATTTCATTCTTCTTCATATTTGCTTTATAAATGCAATAACCCTCTCTTATCCATCTGTGAATATTACTTTTATTTACTTCAAAGTCTCTCTTGCCTAGTCATTGTTTCATTGGATGTTATTTTTATTTAATAAATTTGATATCTCATTTTCCTATCACAGGTTTTCCTGAAATGTTCAATGATTCTTGGTAGTGAGATCATTTCAGAGTCCCTATTTGTCTGTCTGTGTATGCCGTTTCTTTTTACTACTATCTGCCGCGGTGATAATGTGGGACATGCCAAGTATCATATGTATCATAAGAGTTTGTCTTCTCAGGAAATGGTCTTGGAATTTCTGGACAATTCTGTCAAAGACCTCTTGATATATCCCCCAGCTTTTCCAACCTGTGTTAAGCTCAGTGCTTTAGCTTAAATTCAGAGTATTTTGAGGGAATAGGTTACTGTAGACCTAACTACTCTATACATATCTCCCTGTCTAATACTTCAGTCTCCCTTCTCACTACAGTAATGTCCCTATTATCCAGTACCAATGAGGACTGGTAGATTCTGGATAAATGCAGTTTTTAGTTGCCTGAGGGAAATAGGCTTAATTCTCCACCCCATACTATACCATAAACTCTGTATTGACTTGATATTAATATTAAAATGCACTAATTAAAAGCAAATTAGGACAAAAAAAAGCAAACTTCACTTACTGTAACAGTTTTACTATATTATAAAACAACTTTGTAAATGCACCGCACAATTATAGTTAAATAGCATTCGATACACTTTTCAACTTCACTACCATATTTTTGTAACACACTTTAACACTGAAAACTGTTATAGAGAAAACACGGGAGCCACAGGAGTGATGCATGAAGGTCAGCTTACTAAGGCTGACTGAGCAGCACAGTACTCCAATTATAATCCCTGGGGGTTTTTGGCTGGGTCGTGTGGTAGTTGCTCAAGAGTACCAGTTGCTAGAGTTCAGGATAATGTGGAGGTTAGTATATTTGAATCATACTAGGTTGGCTCTACCAGAAGAGTAACTACCTTGAGAATCCACTGATGCACAATGATCTGTATGTTTTGAGCTGTGACTCCACAAGGTTTTATGTCTCATGCTTATGATTCCTCATGCTTAATGTCATTCAGGAATTCCTGAAACTTATATCCACTAATGGGACCCTTTCTTGCTACCCTAGACTATTATAAATTTATTCATATAAACACGTACTTACATAGGTAGAGATACCTATGTACAACTTTTCTGCCATCTCATGGAATTTGGATTTGTGGCTATGCCAGTGGTGGTGGTATGATAGTTAAAGAATATCATGAATTTAGCCTATTATCTTGATCACATTTTCAATTTCATTATTAGCAAAATAATGTGTACTCTATCTTAATATGGTTATTTCTTTTAAGCGCAGACTTGTATATACAGCTCCTATTTGACATCTTTTCTTGAATTTCTTATAGGTATCTCAAACTTAATTGAGTACAAAACTGAATTACTGATTTTACCCCACCAAATATGCTCTACTTGGTCATCACTAGAACACTCAAAGCACATTCTTTCTAATTTCTTTTCCCTTACTTTCACCAAGCTGTCCCTACAAAATAAGCTTAACTTCTTCTCATCTTTACTGCCATTAACCTTGTCCAACCATCATCCTTCACCTGGGCTAGTGTTAAGGGCCCCCTAATTGGACTTAATACGTCTCTTCTTCCCCTTTAATTCACTCTTCCCAGAGTAGCCAGAGACGACATTTAAAAACATCAACAAGATCACAGCATTGGGACGTTTGCCTGTGGCTCAAAGGAGTAGGGTATCGGTCCCATATGCCAGAGGTAGTGGGTTCAAACCCAGCACTAGCCAAAAATTGCAAAAAAAAAAAAAAAAGAGAAAAATTACAGCATCTTCTTTCTTAAAACTCTTCTGTTAGCTTCTCACTGCTGTTGGAATGAATTCCAAACTCTTTTACAGTGAAAGCTATCTGTGAATCCCAATGTGAAGGTTACTTCTCTGTGACTTACTTAAAGACTTCTTTGATGCCAATAGCTTATTAGCCTGTCTGGATAAGTTCCATAAAATTGAAATATTCCTCTTTTCTTTATTCCATTACCTTGTTGAGATGCCCCATAACTTCATCTTGAGTTAATATAACTAAATTTCCTCCTTACTATAATGTCTATATCACAAAACTATTCTGACTGTACTCTTTAAATACCAGGCATTTCTATCTACTTGTAGTTCAATCAGTCCCTTTAGAAATTATCTTTGTCAAATGAACAAGTCCAGTTAAAGGTCTAAGTGCCTCAGCCCAAACTGCTATAAGACAGGAATATTCCCAGTTAAGTCTAGTATATATGGCAGGTAATCTCTGCTTTGTCACTATGTAATACTGAGGAAAAATCCTAACTACTCTAGGACACAGTCTTTTTTTCTGACAAATGAGGAGGTATGACTGTATGATTTCTAATGTCTCTTCCAACATTAGTAATCAGATTCCATGACCAAAAATCATCTCTCTTTAGAAAAAATGCAGTATGGTACCTATCACTCAAAGCTCATAAAAATTATATAGAGGGTAATATTCTATTTCAGATTCAAAATGGATTTTTATCAAAGAGAAAAAAACTTTGATCCAAGCTTTCTGGAAACAACTTAAGCACCATACAGCATTCTAGTATCACTCTAAATTAACTGTGCCAAGACTAGTGGTGTGTTGAAATGCCTGAAGAACACATACAAGCTCAAGAATTAAATATACAGTAATAACAAAAGTAAGTACATTACTATTACTATTATACAGTAACAATAATTGGAAGGCTTTGAACTATTCTGGTAATGACTAAAAACTAACTATAATAATCAAATAAGAATGAAAAACATAGGAAAACAATAAGGTACAGCAGGTACCAAAGGCTTCCTCCTGAAAGGTCAATAAAGATCAATTACTCATACTGGTCTACACAAAGATCCAACGTGTCCTCTTTGCTCATACTGTCTTCATTTTTAAAATAATGTTAAAAGGAGAGGCTCTCCAAATTAAGTTACTAGTTTCATCTAATGTTTTAATAATCTTTAAATCTAACTATAGTTAATTTTAAGTCTTGGCCAAAATCATTAACACCAGAAAAAGAATTCCTTCCTTCTCTAATAACTTCTAACTACCTTCCCACAAACTGTGGAACCTTAAAAGTGGGACTCTACTCCTACTGACAATTACTATGTCAGGTTTGAGAATATTCTTTGTATTGATGGATTCCATAAATTAAATGGTTCACATTGCTTTACCTGATACATTCCAACTCCAATGTGCTTGGGCTCAATTTTCACTAGCTCAGCTAATGGATCTTGTACACGCCTTGCTATGGAAACTGAAAAAACAATCAGAAAACAAGTATGACTTAATGTGAAAAGCAGTACTCAAGTAATTACTTATGTTAGTTTCTTATAATCTGCCCCTCTTTACTGCTTGACCTCCAAAGATGAGCAATTTAACTAACTTTTCAAGTTCCCTTTT